CCTCCCTCCCTCCCTCCCTCCCTCCCTCCCTCCTTCCTTCCTTCCTTCCTTCCTTCCTTCCTTCCTTCCTTCCTTCCTTCCTTCCTTCCTTCTAAGACCACACCCAGAATACTGCAGCCAATTTTGGTCACCATATCACAAAAAAGATGTTGAGAGTTTGGAAAAAATTCAGAGAAGAGCAACTAAGATGACCAAAGGCCTGGAGACTAAAACAAAGAAGAAACAGGGGAGACATGATAGCAGCATTCCAGTATTTGGGGGGTTGCCACAAAGTCGAGGGGGGTCACATTATTCTCCAAAACACCAGAGGGAAGGACGAGAAATAATGGTTGGAAACTGATCAAGGAAACTGGAATTAAGGAGAAACTTCCCAACAGTGAGGACAATTAACCAGTGGAATAGCTTGTTTTCAGACCTTGTGGGCGCTCCATCACTGGAGGTTTTTAAGAAGAGACTGGACAGTCACTTGTCTGAGATGGTATAGGTCCTCCTGCTTGAGCAGGGGGCTGGACTAGAAGACCTCCAAGGTCCCTTCCAGCTTCTATTCTATTCTATTCTATTCTATTCTATTCTATTCTATTCTATTCTATTCTATTCTATTCTATTCTATTCCTTTCTCCTCCCCTTCTCCCCTCCCTTCTTCTTTGTGTGCATGGCTGTGTGTGTGTTTCCCTTTAAAAGAAAACAAACAACCTTAGAAATTATACCTTAATTGGGAACACCATTGAAATAACAATCCCATCACTCACTCCCACATTGGTGCTCGGCCACGTGCTGTGTCTTGCAGGCACCCGAAGCTGCCTTTCCACAGGTGCACACCTTAATTTTCCTGGTTAGTGTTGGCCTGTGTCATACACACGCATAGACGGCTTTGTGTACTACACAAAGTCAGAGTATTGAGAAGGTTATACTTCAACCCAAGGTAGTCCTTCATTTCCATATATTTTCTACCTATTATCTACACACAGGTAGTCCTCCACTTACAACAGTTTGTTTGTTTAGTGACCATTTGAAGTTACAACAGCACTGGGGAAAAAAAAAGACTTTTCACCATTTTTTCACACTTATGACCGTTGCAGCATCCACACGGTTATGTGATCAAAATTCAAACGCTTGGCAATTGACTCGTATTTATGACGGTCACA